GCGGGGCCTCTGTCGGAGGAAACTGGGAGGAGTGAGGGGCAGCCCGCTGCCGCCCCTCGACACAGGGGACGCAGGTAGGGCCAGGCCCCGGAGGAAGGGGAGGGAGGGACCGGGGAAGACCAGAGACAAGGACACGGGAGGCCATGCCTCGGAGACGAAGCAGGGAGGGGTGACCAAGGCGGTGGTGCCAGAGGAGAGTCTCGTGAGACAGGAGGCGACACGAACAGGGGGCAGACTCAGGACCAGACCTGGACGCTGCAGCAAACACCTGACCCGACGCAGCTACCTGACCAGACGCAGTGACTGGAGGAGACGCAGTGGTCAGGGTGTACAGGCTCGACCCCGGCTGACGGGTAAACGTGGCCAGGTGTCGGCCAGTCCGAGCGTCCGTGCAGTGGGTCACCCGCTGACTCGCAGGAATGAACTGGTGAACCCCCGCATCCTGTAGGTCAGCACCACTCACCAAGTTCGTAGAGAACGAGGGGAGGTAAAGACCAGACAGGGTGCCAGAGGGGGCCGCCGGATACGGGAGGACAGTGGAGAAGTGAGCAAGGACAGGACCTCCAGAGGGGTCTGCCAGAGAGACCGCAACTGGCCGGCCAAGCGGCATGAGTGTGGTGCGGTCTCGAAAGAAGGAGCGAGAAGCCCCCGAGTCAAGGGTGAAGGTGTGGGAGGCCGAAGCCGACGCAGAACCTGAGAGAGCAGACTCACCAGCACCTGAGGGAGCAGACACACGAGCACCTAGAGCAGCAGCCTCGCTAGCACCTAGAGCAGCAGCCTCACCAGTACCTAGAGCAGCAGTCTCAATGCCCGGGTCGGGCGAAAAACACCGGTAACAGTCACCCTCATCACTAATAGTCACAGTATACATAGCAGCAAGAATAGCATCAAAGTCAAGGTCAAAGACAGCGACACCTGCCCTAGACAGCTCACCCCAGGGAACTGGTGACGCCAAGCGTCCGTCAGGCGGCCAAAGCAGCGCTGGGTGGAGTGCGCACCCCCGCACTGGTCACCCGCGCGGTCGCCGGTGCGGAGGACGTAGGTGCACGGACCAGTACCCCCACCCCGCTGGCGTGCAGCGTACCACTCACGGAGCTGCTGAGGGGGGGGGATGTCACGAGTGCGCTGCTGCTGCTGCTGCTGCTGCTGCTGCTGCTGCTGGCGCTGACCACCACCGGAGCCGACCCTCTGCGCAGCGCCACCCCGACCAGCTCCACCTCCTCCGCCGCCGCCTCCTCCACCGCCGCTACCTCCGCTCCCACCGCCACCGCCGCCGCCGCCTCCGCCTCCACCGCCGCCACCGACACCTCCACCCCCACCACCACCCCCACCCCCTCCACTGCCTCCACCGCCGCCTCCACCACCCCCGCTAGCTCCTCCAGTGCCCCTACCCCCCTTGCCCCTGCCAGGGCGGCGTCTCCCGCTAGGGGTAGACGCCGCACCGACCGACTCAAGCCCAACGAGGTCGGCCGCAGCAGCAGAGGCAACAGAGGGCAAAAGGGGGGAGGGGGAACACCCCTCAAAGATGGGGGTGCGAGGGTCACCACGAGAGGCTCCTACAGCGACTATGCTCTTCTCTGCTGCTAGGAGGGACTTCTCGAGGAGGTCAACGGTGAGAGTGGTGGGGCAAACTGAGAGGAAGTGGTCCCTGACTACGCGAAGGGAGTCAGGGAGCCGGGTGACTATGTAGTAGAGGGTGATGTACATGGGGGGGGGGGTTCTTGGCACAGAACTCAGCAGGAAGCGCAGCGCGGTAGCGAGTGTCACTAGTGCGGAGGTGCGTAATGAGGTCAGCGACTGTGGGAAAGGCAGCAAGGTCAGGGAAGAGGTACGGTAGCATGAGGCGGCTCAGTGCAGCAGTGGCAGGGGAGGAGTAGCGCGCAACTACAGCGTCGTACAAGGTGTGAGCACTCTTGTACTGGCTAAAGTGCGCACGCTCAGAGGTAGGCAGGTGGCGACGCACAGCAAGACGTGCAGCAGCATCGCGCGTGGCCCACTGTGAGCGAACAGTGGCGTCAGCATCAGCAGCGGGGGCAGGGGAGGCACCAGAAGTGAGGTCAAAGAGGGAGAGGCCGTCTGCTCTGTCGCACTGTAAGAAAAGCTGCAGGTCATCTATCCAGACGTCAAAGTCAATGGCCCGACCCTCAGCGTCAAAAGCGACGACACTAGGGGTAGCCATGACAGCAGTAGACTAGCAGCGCAAACAGTAGGGTGAGGGCAGTGCTGTGAAAGAGGCGCTGCTCTTACCGGACAGGGCGGCTCGGGTGGCTCGGCTGCAGGGCGGCTCGGCGGCTCGGCTGTTGGGTGGCTCGGCGGCTCGGCTGCAGGGCGGCTCGGCGGTTCGGCTGCTCGGCGGCTCGGCGGCTCGGCTGCTGGGCGGCTCGGCGGCTGGGCGGCTCGGCGGCTCGGCTTCTGGGCGGCTCGGCTGCTGGGCGGCTCGGCGGCTGGGCGACAGCTGAGAGGGCGGCGTCCGGGGCCGCTGGGAGGAGGCGGCGAGGCCGCTGAGAGGAGGCGGCGGGGCCGCAGGTAGGTGGCGGGGCCGCTAGTAGGTGGCGGGGCCGCAGGTAGGTGGCGGGGCCGCTGGTAGGTGGCGGGGCCGCAGGTAGGTGGCGGGGCCAGCACAGGTAGGTGGCGGGGCCGCGGGTAGGTGGCGGGGCCGCTGGTAGGTGGCGGGGCCGCAGGGGGCGGCGACGAGCCGTAGGGGGCCGTGAGGGGCCGCGGGAGGGGCCGTAAGGGGCGTAAGGGGGCCGCGCGAAAGGCCGTAAGGGCGGCGCGACGGGCGCGACGGGCCGTAAGAGCGGCACGAAGGGCCGTAAGGGCGGCGCGAAGGGCCGTAGGGGGCGGCGCGACGAGCCGTGAGGGGGCCGCTAAGGGCGACGCGACGGGGCCGTGAGGGGCCTAGCGAGGGCGCGACGGTAGGGAGTGCACACAGGGCGCGACTCGGGCCTGAGCGAAGCGCGCTCCGGGCAGGAAAAAAAAAATCGTGGTGGTGGGCCCTAGGAATCGTTCCCACTAGGGAACATGCTCGATACCATGAGAAGAAACGAGGAATGAATTGACTAAGGGAAAGTTGGGTACAAATGCAAACCCTAGAAAACTGTACCCCATATGTGCTACCCCACTATAGCCTACAATAGCTATGTCATATAAATCTGACACCCACACCAGACAAACTTTACAACCCACACCCAACAAATTTGACAGCCCACACCAAACAACTTTACAACCCACGCCAAACAAAACTGACAGCCCAAACCAAACAAACTTTTCAACCCACAACAAACAAATCTACATCCAAAATACCAAACAAAGTTTTTACAACCCACACTTACCAAACAAAACAACCCACGCACAACAACTTTGACAACCCACACTAAACACAATTTACAACCCACACCAAACAACCCACCATAAACACTATTTACAGCTCACGCAAAACAGAATTGACCGCCCTGGCCAAACAAACTTTTCGACCCACACCAAACCAAATCTACATCCACACCAAACTCAATTCACGACCCACACCAATCAAAATGACAGCGCACAACAAACAAAATTTACAACACCTACCAATCAGATTTGGCAAACCTCACCAAAGAAGCTCAATCGAGCCTTCTCTTCCAGGCTCGCTATGGTCAAACAGCGTCAGCACTTGTTAATATCCAAATCATACATAAACATATTTATACATTAAACCAGACACGTATAATGCTTATCTTAGATCAATAATTCTTTGTAGCTTCCCAAACCTCATTTTGTCAAAGTTCCATGCCATCACATAATCTCCTGTCTATGTGAATATTATCGATTGCTCAAAGATCGTGACAAACATACCAGATCTTATAACAAGTAAACATATTTTCAAACTCCAAATGTTCCAAGAGATATATATTTCCATAAAATGCTCCGCAACCCTAAGACGATTTCGTCGACTCTTGTTTTTAATTGGCATGACGATGGGTGAGTGCGACGTTTCGCTTATTATTTTGATATGTGGCTATGAGTAGAGAAAATGCACGAGCATGATGGTAGTAGGGGTCTGCCTCTAGTAATCTATTTGACTTTAGAAAGTTTTGTGACACTTTTGGGTGAAAAGTGGGTAGAAGTGGAAGGTACTCACTTCATATGAATAGGAACCTCTTCATTCTGAATATATCTAAGCTACAAGCAAATCAGGCTACTATTTCTTGAGTTTTAGAGCGGTTGGTTACGGCGCCGAGGAAAACATATATCGGTCACAATCCAGCATCGTCTTTGCGCGGGTCAACGTGACGACACAGACAGAGGTTCGTTCGTGCCGCATGTGTGAGATGACCTTTCTCCCACCTTTTCTGTGCGCAAAAAACGTTCGTGGCACCACGTGTCAATTGCGTCTGAATTGGTCATTGCATCTGAAAGCCAATCTGTCCACCTCAGCGTTTCGAGACGGGATGACAACATATCACCTTCCGCACGCTCGACCGTACAGGTGGCAATGTCTGACGCGTTAGGCCATAACCAGTGGCAAGCAGCGCATCCAATCTTGTAACGAAGAACTTCCAGCTCTTCACTACTCACCGCAAAAGCAGCATGAGGAAAGGTTTCGTTCACATCGAGATCCCAACCGCCACTCACGTCACAAGAGCAACCTCTAGGCTGTAAATCGACGGCATTTCTTGCTTCGATAATGTCGAAGTTGACCTGAGTTCTCATCCCGACCGTTCAAGACACAGGTTCGTCGCGAATCCAGTTTACTGACCCCATTCTTTCATTTGTCAATTCAGCTCCAGTAGCAGTGAGTCTCTCATCAGCCGTGTGCTTCCAGGATCAGCCATTCTCTGCACTGCAGTCTCCTGGATTGGAGTGTGCTCTGATATCATCAGATCAAACTGATAGAGGTCTGAGTAGCCATTTCTGTAGCTGGACATTCCGATCTCCAATCCAGCTTGAGTCGTGATTCGGGATTCCCTTGGTTCCTGAGAGTTGGGTTTCTGAGCTCGGAATCGTGACTCCTATCCGTCATGGCTCTTGCTGCTTCTCCGGCTGTTAGGGCTTGCACCCTACCAGCAGATTCTGCTCGGCAAACCACGGCTACTACCAGGTCTGCTGTCAGCACTGGTGCTGCTGCGCCGCTGTCCAGCCGGTTCCTGGGATCGCGAGTTTCCACAAAGGCTGTAAAGGCCGTGCAAGTGAAGGGGAACTGGAAGGCTGGTGCTGCGCGTGCCACTGCCACTGCCGATCCTTCAACATCCACCTATGTCGTGCCGGTTAGTAATCATTGAAGAAGCAAAATATCAATACACATCCTTTGTCAATCAGTACCTATAAAAAACCCTGCGATGATCCTCGTTTGGTTTAATCATCTTTCTCAATTCCTTGTTTTTTGTTCGAGGAGAGTTCAGAGTCAGTGAGGGAGCTTTTTCTAACACGTTTTCACTCTTTAGAGAATCGCTAGTTATGCTCTTCATACCTCACTTTCTAGTGAATAGCGAGTTTTTTTCTCGTCGTGCGTTTCTTGTAGTCTCCGTTTCAACAAGTTGCATCCACAATGTCTCTCTGTGTCCTCGCCATTCTCTTAACCAGGATCTTGATCGCGATGACGCACTGATGCTCTACGAAGACATGGTGCTGGGACGCACCTTCGAGGACATGTGCGCTCAGATGTACTACCGCGGAAAGATGTTCGGCTTTGTTCACTTGTACAACGGTCAAGAGGCCGTCTCTTCTGGTATCATCAAATACCTGCGACAGGACGACTACGTTACCAGGTAATACCATCTATTCTGTCGCTTCTATTATGTGGCCGCATCCTTCTCATTTTCCCTAATCATCTGCTGATCATTCCTAGTCAAAAGAAAGTTTCCCTCGAACCCTTCTCTCCTTCCCTCTCCCCCTTCCCCCGACCCTACCTCGCAACAACTCCTCCGTTTTCCCACGATCCAGCACATACCGTGACCACGTGCACGCGCTGAGCAAGGGCGTGTCCGCACGCCAGGTGATGGCGGAGCTGTACGGCAAGACGACGGGGTGCTGTCGCGGGCAGGGCGGGTCCATGCACATGTTCTCCAAGGAGCAGGGCGTGCTCGGCGGCTTCGCCTTCATCGGCGAGGGCATCCCCGTCGCCGTCGGCGCCGCGTTCGCCGCGAAGTACAACAAGGAGGTGCTCAAGCAAGACGCGGACCAGGTCTCAGGTGAGGCTCCTCGTTGCGCTGACAGTTGTGCTGGTTCCTCGTGTGTCGTGAGTCGACTCAATACTCGTCGGCGCCGCGTTCGCCGCGAAGTACAACAAGGAGGTGCTCAAGCAAGACGCGGACCAGGTTTCGGGTGAGACCCCCGTTTCGCTGACAGTTGTAGTGGTCCTTCATTCCGCCTGGTAGCAATAGTGGTCCCTCCTTCCGCCGATCGTAGTATCGCGTATCAGAGCGTGAAGGAAAGCGTTTAGCGCGAAAACGAAGTCAATGGGTAGCACTGCGATTCCACTTATCGATTGCGTTTCGTTATATTTCGTTGCGTCCGGCTGCAGTGGCCTTCTTCGGCGACGGCACGTGCAACAACGGCTCCTTCTTCGAGTGCCTCAACATGGCGGCGCTCTGGAAGCTTCCGGTGATCTTCGTGGTGGAGAACAACCTGTGGGCCATCGGCATGAGCCACCTGCGCTCCACGTCGGACCCCGCCATCTGGAAGAAGGGCCCCGCGTTCGGCATGCCCGGAGTCCACGTGGACGGCATGGATGTGCTCAAGGTGCGCGAGGTGGCGCTGGAGGCCATTGATCGCGCCAGGCGGGGCGACGGCCCGACGCTCATCGAGTGCGAGACGTACCGCTTCCGCGGTCACTCCCTGGCCGACCCCGATGAGCTTCGCTCCCCTGGTGAGTTACTCCTGTCCCCATTGTGAGTTACCCCTGTGTCTTTATTGTGTTACCCACTCTATAGCCGGTGGACAAGTGAAAGGCACCACACACAAGAAGGCGCCTAACAATGCTTTCTCTCTCTCTCTTTCGAAATCCCTGCCAGGATGCCCACGTTTCTTTCCTAAATCCTGGTCCCCCTTCCTCCGTTTTTTTCCCTCCCCTATCCCGTCGCGCCTCCTCCCTTCTTCCATCCTCGTCCTCTCCGCACCTCCCTGGTCCGCGCAGAGGAGAAGGCCAAGTACGCGGCGCGCGACCCCATCATCGCTCTGAAGAAGCACATCCTGGAGTCGGGCCTCGCGTCCGAGGCCGACCTCAAGGTGAGACGAGCGTCTTAAACTGTGTGAAGCAGGGTTTCTGAGTCGACTAAGAAAAGCTGCCAAGTTCGCCCCGCGCGACCCCATCATCGCGTTGAAGAAGCACATCCTGGAGTCGGGGCTCGCGTCCGAGGCTGGCCTCAAGGTGAGTGACACGAGCGTATTGCAGGGTGGAGCAGTGTGTCGGGGCTGGCTGCATTGCACCATTGGATAGTGGCTGTAACGGACGATGCAGAGGATTGTGAACAACTGGATGCACGGTTCCGTTGGGGTGATGTGCGCTGGTGACGAGATCTGCGCAAGCTCTGTCTCAGTTGTGTTGCCTGGCTAGACACCTGTGTCTTCATAACCCCATGCGTTTTGCTGGTGAAGAGAATGGTCACGCAACGAGCTGATCAGCTCGAGAGCAAGAGGGGTTTAGGTTCCGGGGGTTTAAGTGTTGTAACCAGACTCTCGAATGGCTGCATTTGCAGTCTCAGATTTGAGCGCATGAATGAGTCGTGAGCACTACGCCTAGAGAATTCATTGAAGGTCCAACCGTCCTGGCAATCACAGCCCGGTTTACATTGCTTTGGATCTGTGGGTTGTGCCCTCAATTGTTTTTCATGCTTGAACTTGTATGTGCACCCGATTCATTTTCTTTCAGGCGATTGAGAAGAAGATTGATGACGTTGTGGAGGATGCTGTTGAGTTTGCTGATGAGAGCCCACTGCCGGAGCGCCATCAGCTGCTGGAGAATGTGTTTGCTGACCCCAGGGGCTTCGGAATCGGAATTGACGGCACCTACAAGTGCGAGAACCCAGACTTCTCGTCCGGCACCGCACAGGTGTAAATGCCTTGTCTGTTGCAATCCTGGAAATACAAGGTGCTTTGAGTTATTAAACTAGTTGGTAGCAAGGCAAGGATGTGCTAGGTATCCTTGTCTGGTTGCCTTTATTGTGTGATATTGGTTACTCGTTTAGCTTCTGCCAAGTTTACCAAATGCTTAGGGTGCATTCCGCTGTGGATTTGTGTCCCAATCGATGTGTCCCAATCCCCTTCCCGCCGAGTCGCGCTCACATTTCTCGAATCTGCATGTCCCAATCGATCGATGTATTGCGACCCTGTTGTGTTAAAACCGAAATATAAAATAGTGAAGGCCGTGCCAGCTTGAAATCGCTGCGATGATTTGGGTTGACACAACACTGTTCCAAACAAACCGAGTAGGCAGGTTGAACTCATCTGATTGGCTCAAACAAATCTGAAAAATTACTCCTCCCGCCAAAACGTTTTTCCAGGCCCATGTGAATCGTCGCATTTTTATACGCTGCACCCATACGACCGTTGCCCAGCGATGGTTTCCATCGCCAGGACCAACTTCCAATTCAAGTTGGGACTGGGTGAATGACTATTTGATTTTGAGTCCCAAAGTCACTAGTGCTTTGCGTAGCATTAGTAGTAAAGCCGAGAAAGCGTAGATGTTTCTGGCCTAGGCACGTAAGATCCGACTTCGCTCGCGTGCGTAATGTAGTGAACATGGCTCTGTATAGTCAATATTTTTCTCGTCGCTCGCAAGTGAAACCCGACCCTTCACCTCGTAGCCCTCGCGTTCTCGGTAAATCAGGCTCCCGTCGCTCTACATCTCTTCTTCTCACAGTAACCATCGCGTTGCTCTCGCGCTCATATTGAATCGCCTTTCCGTCGCCCTTCCTCCCCCTCCTATCACCCACTTCGTCGCCGTCACGCGCGCCTCAAATCGCCCACCCTCGCCCCTACCGTCGCCATCACCCTCGCGATCTCCTCTCACATCCCGTCGCCATTCCTCTCTTGTTGCCCTTCCTCACTCCCGTCGCCAGTTCGCTATCCCGTCGCCCTTCCTCTCTCTCGCCGCCCTTCCTGTCTCCCGTCGCCCTTCCTCCCCTGTCGCCCTTCTTCTCTCTCCTCCCGCCGCCCTCGCGTCTCATCGCGAACGCGTTCCCACCTCCCGTCACCCTCCGTCCCGCCTTTCGTAAATTATTACCTCCCCTCGCGTCGTTCCTCTTCTCTTCCCTCCCCTACCGTCGATCCCTCTTCAGGTCCTCGATCCCGTGGCCTCGCTCTCTCCCATCCCTTTCCGCCGCCCTCACTCTCTCCCCTGCCTTTCCGTCGCCCTCGTTCTCTCCCCTCCCTTTCCGCCGCCCTCACTCTCTCCCCTGCCTTTCCGTCGCCCTCGTTCTCTCCCCTCCCTTTCCGCCACCCTCGCTCTCTCTCATCCCTTTCCGTCGCCCTCGCTCTCTCTCATCCCTTTCTGTCGCCCTCGCTCTCTCCCCTCCCTTTCCGTCGCCCTCGCTCTCTCCCCTCCCTTTCCGTCGCCCTCGTTCTCTCCCCTCCCTTTCCGTCGCCCTCGCTCTCTCCCCTCCCTTTCCGCCGCCCTCGCTCTCTCCCCTCCCTTTCCGTCGCCCTTGCTCTCTCCCCTCCCTTTCCGTCGCCCTCGCTCTCTCCCCTCCCTTTCCGCCGCCCTCGCTCTCTCTCATCCCTTTCCGTCGCCCTCGTTCTCTCCCCTCCCTTTCCGCCGCCCTCGCTCTCTGCCCTCCCTTTCCGTCGCCCTCGTTCTCTCCCCTCCCTTTCCGCCGCCCTCGCTCTCTCCCCTCCCTTTCCGTCGCCCTCGTTCTCTCCCCTCCCTTTCCGTTGACCCTTGCTCTCTCCCCTCCCTTTCCGTCGCCCTCGCTCTCTCCCCTCCCTTTCCGCCGCCCTCGCTCTCTCTCATCCCTTTCCGTCGCCCTCGCTCTCTCCCCTCCTTTCCGTCGCCCTCATTCTCTCCCCTCCCTTTCGTACTTGCTATCTCCCCTAGCATTCCGCGGATTTTTCTCACGCATCTCTCCTCTCGCGTCCTCGTTTCTATTGCTCTATTTGTCTATTCTCTGTGATACGCAGCGATGGTTTTCACATGTTATTGTCGCCCTAGCAGGCCTATGTCTAAGGGCGTGTCATGGCGAGGGAGCTTACAGCTCATGAATCACTGTTTAGGCTGGTATGTAGCGGTTCAGAGCGGTGAAGAGTACAAACCGCTTTAGAAAACACAATATCGTAGTGAACCGCTTAGAATGAACCGAAAGTTCACCAAGCATGACACGCCCTAAGGCCTTAGCTTTGCGTGAGTTGGGCTTGCTTTGCGTGAGTTGGACTTGCTTTGCGTGGGTTGGACTTGCTTTGCACGAGTTGGACATGCTTCACGATGTGAATTTGGCTCTGAATGTAATTGCGATTCGCACGTCGTTGCCTTTCAAGCGACGTATTTGCACATGCTTGCGATGATTTTTGTTTGAGAAATTTGGAGACTCGATCAGTATCATATGGGGCTGGAAAAAAAAATACACAACAGTACTTCAACTTTCAAGTGGACCCAACTAGAAGGGGGGGGTCACTATTTTAGCTGCTGGCTTTAAGCGGCAATTATTTGCGACCCCCTGTGATTGGTCACCGTCCAACCTGGCACACTTCCACCCCCGAAGCACAAACACCCCCGCGCCTGTTGTGCGGAAGATGCATGTAATTGTACGGGGAGACCGCGGATACACAAACAACACATCCGCGCTACCAATAATTGCCGAAACGGTAATTGTGGCATCTCCCGTTACGCTTACGCGCCATGCTTGCGGTTGGATGACTGCTAGATCTAGATCTAAAGGGAGATGCGGCGGGAGAAGATGACAGAGAGATACTTCAAAGCAGGTTTACAAGCTTGACCTTGTAGGGGGTTGGGAGGCGTAGGAGTTGAGGTGGAGGTGCACAAGGACGGGGGGGAAGGCGCAATGACGGGGTAGTGCGCGTCCCTGTCAATAATTCTGGATGGTTCGCTTCGACCAATCACAACGCAGAGTACGCGTTGGTGGGGACAGAGGGTGGCGCAAAATGTAGTCTAGATACACGCTGCATGGGATGACATTTGGTGGCGCGTGCGATTGATGGGGTGTGTTGCAATTAGCTGGCGATAATTCCGTGAATCACGCCAGCCAATGATAAATACATTCGGCGACAACCACGGGCGGCACGGCATTCCGACACCTGGCAGCATATGCTGTACGTACGCGTCCCAATCGATTGGGACACATCGATTGGGACATATTCTACAGCGGAATGTACCCTTATTCGAAACTTCAAATCGCCTGTGTTCTTGTTAATGGTAAGTGTACATGGTACAAAATATGAAGCTTGTCAATCCTCAAGAACATGGTGAATCTTAAAGCTGCGGTCTACATACATAAATGCCTTTTTGGGGTACAATTAGCGTGGACACCAGGGCCTTTGATTTCAGGGTAAAATACCCTGATTACCCTGATTTCAGTGTTGACTTAACCCCCTTGCCCTGACAATTCAGGGTCCTAGCTTTTCCAGCCCTGAGATTTCAGGATGTCCGTTTTATATCACCCTGAGATTTCAGAGTAGTGTACACCTGCCTGCCCTGAGGCGTCAGGGTTCTTGTATGGCGTACCCTGAAACGGTTACACTGTGCGCCTAGGGGGCCCAGTCCTTGATTTCCGAGAGTTGGCGCCGAAACACGCGAGTCGCCCACCACCACTCACATTGACGACAAAATGGCCCACATGGGGCAACATACAGCGATGCGGCAGGCATGACTGCCCGTTACAGTACCCCCTTCACACCCACCACCACTTACACGTCCACAGTCACTGTCCCTAGTTGATCAATCGTAGCACTTTGTGAGTCAAGTTCCCACGTGTTGCCTCTGTGCCCTGGCATTGCCCAAGGCGCCTTCCAACTCCCATCACGCCACCCATCACAAGGCAGTGCAGTGCCTGTTGGTGGCACCTGGCCACCTCGTTCACCACGCCCTTCCATCTGTTCAGTACGTCTCTTCTTTGCTCGGCAGGCTCTGCTCTGCTGTGGTTGCAAACAATAACCTATGCTCTGGGAATCCGTACTAAATCACCCTCGATCGCCATGGCGGACTCTAGCCCGCCTCCCACCCACACAGATCATGTATTACCTCCGATTGTTAACAACAGCAATCGTGGCCTTACAGGCCTTGACTTCCTCCGACCTGCGAGCGCTATCGTTAACATGGCCCGCACTCGTCTCCCTGGTGCGATTCCCACCCAGCCTCAACTGGTTCGTCCCACAGTACCACCCTCTGCCTCAACTCCTGCTCGGGCTGATTCTCGGCCTGATCCATCAACCAGGGCTGCGCCGACTTCTAAAACGCGGCTCTACTCTACCGCTGAGACGGGGCAGGATGGCGAGGCGTCGCCTGCTCCCGCGTCTACGTCCCGACCGACACCAGCAAGGCGGATGGGCGTGAGAGTCGGGCTGAGGCACGGCACGATGCGGTTTCGGCAAGCGCAGATTACCTTCCATCGTGCCCGCGCTGGACCTTCAGCGTCAACCGCGACACCGTGCCCAATCGCAGGCAGAACTGAAGTATCAGGACGCCCTGTACCGATACACGAAAGAGTGGTCGGGTGATTTCTCGTGGCTTGTTTTGTGTCAGCAACCTGACGGATTTCCCTCTGTAAAATGCAGTGTATGTGTGGCTCAGGGTGTGACAGGAACGAAATTCGGCCGCGCAGGGCATGGTGCAGTTGACATTCAGACCCAAGCGTTCCGAGCACACCAGAGAACGAGGAAGCACAAACGTGCTTTGAAGGAGCAGAAAAGCGCAGAGCGGAAGGCAAAGGGACAGACGTTGCTTGACGACTGCCCCACGGTGTACGACATGGAGAAGGAGCGTGTGATCGCTCTAGCCGTGACCCTGCTCTTCATATGCCAACAGGACGCACCGATCGAGATGTGGGTCGACTTGGTGAAGCACCTAGCCGAACGCAAGACTCCTGGTTTCCCTAAGAAGGGCTACGGTGCTTACTACACCACGTAAGTTTTGTCTTTTTGTCACTGTTGTGCCGTTTAGGTTTCCCACTGCTTTCTGACCAGCACGACGTGGTGTGTGTTGTTCCAGGTATGGCTTCCAGGAGCTCACGACTGCCACCGCGACATACCTCCGTGCGCGCCAGCGAGAACACATCGACGAGTCCCCTTTCCTCGGGATCACTTGTGACGAGAGCACGGATCGTGTGCGTGGCAAGCACATGATAGTGTTCATCACTTTCCTGCGAGAGCGAGCGGTCGTTACTGAGTTCCTGACGTTGCTCACCATTGACAAGTGTGATGCTGCTTCTCTCCTCTCCGTCCTCCTCTCACACTTAGAGACCATTGGTCTCGACCTGAACAAGATATCAGGTGTTGCGACGGACGGCGCACCGGTCATGTTGGGATCGTCTGGCGGTTTGGTCGCGCGGCTTCGACAGCGCCTGCCTCGTCTTGTTGGCACCCACTGTGTCGCTCATCGGTGAGTGCTACTCTTTTCCCGCCTCAAGGCATCGGGATTTATGAAACTGATATCCCTCTTCGGTTTCTCTGTCCGTGTCAGGGAAGCTCTCGCAGCCAAGGATGCTGCGTTGGTGGAGCCAGATGTTGGCTTGATTGACGTCATAATTCGGGCGGTGTGTGGCATCCTCGGGAATTCACACCCACGGCACGGTGTCTTCATGCGTCTCCAGGAGACGTTCTTGCACACGAACCTGGAGATGCAGGGCATTCACGATGTCCGCTGGCTGAGTCGGGGCCAGGCAGTGGAGCGACTCTGCGAAGTCCTGCCCGCGGTGATTGTGCTTCTCCAGGAGTACGACACTGCCATCTACCACGTCGTAACCTCGCTGAAGTTCCATGTGTACCTTTTCTTCCTCGCTGATGTCCTGGCAGAGCTCAACAACCTCAACCTTGTGTTTCAGCGACGCGAGGTGAGTGGTCCAGTGGTACTTGTCATGATTCCCGTGCCCTCTTCCCCACCCTAATCGCTATCTCCTCTTTGTTGTATTCTGCGTGCCTCGCCCCCTTGCAGGTTGACCTCACTGGCGTGCAGTCCCTGGTCCGCCGCACGCTCATCTTCATGCGAGAGCGCTACATCGACTGTGGGTCAAAGTTTGGCGCGGGGACAAGCAAGCGCCTGTCGCCCTTCCTCAAGCGTCTCTCGTCTAGCCGCACCGTCAAGGTGGAAGGCGTTGACAGTGACGGGAGCACGCGGAAACACAGCTTCGACTTACACGAGGAGCTGCTGAAAGGGTACAGCAAAAAGCCAGGCGACCTGGAGACTTGCATCAACACCTGCCGCTCCTATGCGGTTGCGGTAGTGGACCACCTGCAGGAGAGGTTCAAAGACCTCGACAGTTTGGACGGGGCAAAGCTCTTCATGCCTGACAGCTGGCCGAAGGACACGGACGGACGGAAAAAGGAGTGTGCAGCCCACCTGGAAGCCCTATTCAAGATGTTCCACATCGGCGAGCGGAGGGAGGTGCTTCCTGGTGAGTGGTGCTTTCGGCAAGCGCATCACCTGCGCATGTTAGCGTCAACTGACTGGCGTGTCTCCTGCATGTGATCTTGGATGCAGGTGTGGACAAGCGCATGGCGAAGAAGGAGCTCAGGACGCTGGTGCCCGTTCTCCAAGGAGCTCCTCGTGGAGAGCGCAGCTTCCACGATGGCCTGGCGGCAATGCTCAAGACCAGCGACTGGGAGAGGAGCTACCCGAACCTCGTGAAGCTGTGGGTAGCAGTGGCGGTCCTGCCGCTGAGTACGGTGGAGTGTGAACGGGGATTCAGCAGGCAGAACATCATCAAAACCTGGCACAGGACGAGCCTCTGCGATGGAAAGCTCGGCGATCTCATGTGTCTGAGCATGCTGCGATACGACATAGATTGGGATGAGGTGGTGAAGATATGGAGGAGTAGCAAAAAGCGCCGACCCACCCACAAGAAAGATCACCAGCAGCAGCACAAGCAGCAGCAGCAGCAGCAGCACAAGCAGCAGCAGCACCAGCAGGCCAAGGGTTGGGAGAAGGTGGCCGACGATGACGATTCAGACGATGAGAGCAGCAGCAGAAGTAGCAGCAGCAGCAGCTCTAGCTCGGATGGGGAAAACTACTAATCCGCTTCTATTCAAGTGTAGTAGTAGTTTAGGGGGTGTGTAATGGAACTAGTAGTAACCTACCAGACGAACAAACTGTGGCAATTATTGTGATTCCATTTCAAAGAATGAATACATCATGCAACAAAAAATGCCATGAGGTTTCAGGGTGAAGTTCTGGCATGCCCTGAGAAATCAGGGTCCCCTGAGGGGCTCTGCCTTGAGGAGGACACGCAGTTATGAGCCATGCCCTGAGGGCCCAGGGTCCCTAAAACTGAATCTGAGGCCCTGGTGGACACCCTAGGACGCACTCTGATTAGCTTGCGAAGTGACCCTTCTCCTGAAATGGGGGTGCGAAGGGGTCAAACAAGACTGGCGAATCCCGCCAGTTTCGTGAAAAAAACTCGGGTGGGAGAACAACCCTCGGCGAATCCTCAAACGTTTCGAGCGGTTCAGGGTTTGGCGAAACTGATGAGCCAATCCTGAGAGTGCGAATTTTCAGGGGAGGGGGTTGCGGAGGTCACAAATCCTCGCCACTGAAGCTCACAGCAACCTGGTTTTCAAGTGATAAACTCAGGCGTCCCGCGTGAGGTATGTAGGCCGCAGCTTTAACAGAGAATGTGTGTCTAAACATAAACTAAGGGTACATTCCGCTGTGGACACATGTCCCAATCGATGTGTCCCAATCGTTTCTACCACACTGCATCGTATTACACCAAATTGCACCCTAGTTTCGAAATTTTCGGGTCTCTGGTTTAGTTCGGTTCGGAGTGGTACACTCGATTGGGACACGTCGATTGGGACATGTGTCCACAGCGGAATGTACCCTAACATGTATTACCGCCACTGAAGAGCCGACCTTTTACCCGCGTTGTGTAGTATTTGGAAAATGCGAACTGCTTTCTGTTTGCCTGTATCTAGCTACAGACAACACTTTCCATAATACCGTATAGATTTTCTGCTCTGTGATAATATTCTTGAATTATATAATTTGTTTAGTAGGAGCAGTGTATTCCTGAACGGTCTTGCGACGTTTTGCTCCTTACCGTAGACTATAACGGGTATTTACCCGGAATACCAAACGGCACATTTACGACCAAACCGCGTCACGCCTGCGCTTCGAGATTTCCCTCCCTCCCTCCAGCCCCGCACCAAGCCGAGATTCATCTTCCTTGTCTTGTGCTCTCAAATCAACTCTATCCTCATTCTTCGCCTCGTGCTGCCTCAACATCATCCAGTTGCGCAATTGCGGTTAGTTTCCATGTCTCACGTTGTCACATGGAACAGACAGGGCGGAGGCGGAGATGCCGCAGGGAGAATATAGGGGAAACCGGGGAGAAGAACCAGCGGTGCTGTACCAGTCAAAAACAGCTCCGTAGCAGTTCCAGAATCAACCCTTGAGACGTCTCGAAAGTCGTCTGGAGTGGGCCGCTTCTAGTTGACTGCAGACTGCGTTCATCAGAGGACGAAACGCGGCGGTTCCATAATCATCCAGTCAGCCCGCAACCTCCCGGTTCCAGCCTGCGCCTTCACCCGTAGCGTGCCGTTCAACAACGAGCAAGATGCAGCTTCTGACCTAAAGCCAAGCTTCGCCCCTCGTGCTGAGAAACCGGTCTTCCGTGTCCGGTCCTCGCCGGTGTGGTGCACGCCAGTGCGGTGCACTCCGGTGCTCAGACTCGTCGCCTCGCGAACCGTCTCAACCGCTGGATGTATCAGGCGATAGCTTGTCCGGTCCTCGCTCGTTTCCGATGTCGTTCGGTCGCTCAGTGGCTCCATCTCAGCCGAAGAGCCTAGCATCAGCAGTAGTTTCCCCCGATGCTCTACTTTTCCCTCTTCACGCCCGCCTGACGCCGTGCGACTGTGTGCGACGCAGCGGGCGACGCGCGCGAGTGAGGAGGTTGCAGAGGTTGACTTCCCCGCGAGTCGCCCAACCGGGCTGCACCATCCGTTGATGGTTGGTTCGTCGATGCCAGTGCCACTGGGGTTGATCCAACCTCCGCAAGCGACCCCACTCCGAACCGACTCGGACTCGCCTGGGAGTCGGAGTCGCTAGACGCCTGAGAGTCAGGCTCCCTGCTAGCCAGAGGACAGGCTCCCTGCTGGTCAGACTCGAGTCACACAGGGTTGCGAGTGGGAACCGCGTAGGGTGGGAGCCACGAGGGCTGAAAGCTATAAAAGCAAGCGATTCAGGCCATCGGATATCATCCAGTTTTCTCTCCTCTCTTCTCTCATCGGCTCGAGGAGCTCTAGCCTTCCGAGTGCAAGCACCCCTGAAGCCTCGCGTTCACGCATTCGCCCTTGGATTCACCCGCAAGCCAACTCATTCTCTCCTCGGTATCGGCAGAAGCAGCTAACCGCTCCTCCCACCATGGCGGTCAAGCCGCGCCTCGTCTTCCCGCTCCTCGCCTGTGCGCTGCTGCTCGCGGGCGCGCTCCTTGCGCCTTCCGCCTCCGCCGCCCGCCGCGTTCTCCAGGACATCGGGGACGACTACGTTGAGCGCGTGGCGGACGAGGATTACGGCACGGACGCCGACGCCTCCTCCGGCGCGGCCTCCGCGGGGGCCGTCGGCTTCGGCGACCCGAGGTCTGGCGGAATGAACCTCCCGCCGGGCTTCCCCGGCGCAGCGGGCGGCGCAACCCCGGGGAACCCGGGGAGCGCGGGCAACGGTCCCGCGACCAACCCCGGTGCCGGCCCAGCGACCGACCAGCGTGCCGGCCCAGCGACCGACCCCGGTGCCGGCCCCGCCACCGACGAGCCGGATGAATCCGATGAATCCGAGGGAGAGGCGGTAGACGACCTGACCGACCCCGCCACTCCCGCCACTCCCGCCACCCCCGCCACCCCCGCCACTCCCGCCACGCCCGCGCCCGTCAATCTCCCCGCCGATTTCGAATCCCCAATCAGCGCGCTGTTCGATCTGACGCTGGAGGGGGCGGACATGGAGCTCGCGCGCACGCTCACGCCGCAGCCGATCCCCGCGGACGCGCCCACGGAGGTGAAGAACTTCGTCGCGGGGATGGAGGGGGCGGCGGCGGCGGCGGCGGCGGGGGCGGGGGCGGGGGCGGGGGCGGGGGCGCCTGGGCGCAAGCTCCAAGTCGTGCCGGAGTGGATGCGCAAAACCAACAACACGACGCCCTTCGGGTTCTACCCGTATGACGTGCCCAAGTGAGTCGCTTTTGGGATTTTGGGATTTTGGGATTTCGGGATTTCGATTGGAGTCCACTCGAATAGCAGCCAAGAGCCACAACACGACGCCCTTCGGGTTCTGCCCTCTCTCTGCCCTCTCTCTGCCCTCTCTCTGCCCTCTCTCCGCCCTCTCTCCGCCCTCTCTGCCCTCTCTCTGCCCTCTCGGTACCATCTCTTCTTCTCTTGCTCTCGTTCCGTTCCGTGCCCGCCCGTTCTGCCCTCGCCTTTCGAGCAACTGCTGCAACGACACCACATCTGCTCCTCTTCCCCCTCTCTTTTTCTCTTGTTCTCCTTACGTCATTCGTTCTGCTCAACAGAAAACCCTTATGAGAATCCCCCAAAAACAGGCTCTTTCCCCCCCTCCACCCATGCGCGCCACACCAGCCCATTTGCCGCTCTCTGCTCGCCGCCCTCAGATTCTCCCCCTCCCCCTTCCCCACCCCCCGTCTCAGGTTCCACCCCTTGTTCGGTATTTCTGTGAAGGCCAAGAACGGCACGTGGTACACATACGTGAAGCGAGGCGTGCAGTGGCTGGGCACCTACGACTGGGCCACGGGCTACTGTAAGTGCTGTCTTGGGTCGCAAGGTGCTCTCCTAGGCGCAAGGAACAGTCGCTCTCTTGGCATGCGTCAGTCTGGGCCACCAGTGGCTGGGCACCGCTAACTGGGCCACGGGCTTCTGTAAGTGCTCTTTCAGTCGCCTCTAATGCATTTCCGTGTGAAGGGACGGAAAGGCCAGTGGTGCACATACGTCAGTCAGAGGAACCAGAGGAGCCAGTGGTTGGGAACCTATGACTGGGCCACGGGTTATTGCAAGTGCTTCCCTTCTCCTCCTGCCTGCCACACCCCTCCCTCTCTTCTCCCTCTCACTCTCTCTTCTCTCTCTTTTCCTCTCTCCCTCTCTCCCTCTCTCCCCCCCCTCCTCTCACTCAAACTCCCCCGACCCTCCAACTCTCCCTCCGCCCTCCCCCCCAGGGACCTGCCGTTTCACGGCGCCTCACCCCAAGAACGGCTTTAACTGCGCGGCGGACCCTACCTGCCCGGGCTGCCCTCGCTGCCGCGGCTGGCGCTGCTTCCGCAACATGCACCTGCCCACCTACGGCTCCCCCAATGGCCAAACGTATGCACTCGTGCAACCATGCAATCAAGCTTTCATGCAATCAAGCGTTCATGCAATCAAGCTTTCATGCAATCAAGCTTTCATGCGTATCCTCTTTCCCACCGATTCTTCTTTTCACACCTCGCAATGACGCACCCTCTGCGTCCACAACAGCTCCTCCCCGGTTACTTC